CCGGACATGTCCGGGAAAATCCGGACGTATGGTAACCCTAACTAACTGGTTCCCTGAGCATGGCTGGACTGGCAAAATGGCTGGTTAACGGCTTGTTCGTTAACCCTTTAATTACCAGTGCTCATTTAAGCTTTCATGTAAAAAGTGCGTTTTGGTTTTGGTTTTTTGGATTGTGGTAGCATCTGGAGTAACCCCAGTCACAGCTCTGGACCCCATCAGGCTAAGTACTGTACACACATAACAAAAAGACGGTCTCTGCCCCACAGAGCTTATAGTGTCTAAGTGTGTGATGAGAGACAAGAGGTGGACGCAAAAATGGCAGGTTATTGTCCCTTATCCTTTGACAAGAAAGGGAACTTCCAAAACGTTCTACGGCCCACAAAATGTGCTGCTGTGCCGTGTGTACGGCTGAATGGAGCCTTTAGCGCAAGAGCATCAGCGGATCCCAGCCGAGGCGGCCGGGCTCTAGTGTCACTGCAGAGAGACACCAGGAGTTCTTCGGAATCCCGGGGAAGGAAGATGTTGGCGAAGGGAGGCAGAGAAGCTGGCTGGCTTGGGAGGAGGGAGTCTGGAAGATGAGAGAAGAGAGGCAGCTGTTTTCTGTTCTGGAAGGGCTGGAGGCAATGGCAGAGTGCATGGGCAGCCTGTGGTTCTTTCATACTGCAACAGAAAGGTAAGTACTGGCTACATGATATGTACAAATATGGGGACAGAGGCCTGGATTCCAGGTGCAGAGGGGGCTCTTTGACATACAACCAGAGGAATGGCTCAGTGCATTGGTTTTCCACACCCGCTCTCCTGTTTGCTCCTGGCTAGGGTGCTGCCACCACACTCCCATTTCTGGCCTCGGAGCATAGCATAGGCCCAGAGCTAAATTGCTGACGTCCAGCTGAGCCAGAAGGCTCTGCGTGTCCAAGCCTCGCTTAGCTAAACCCCTCCCACGCCACGGCTCAGATCACTGGGGTTTCTGCTGGGCAGCTGGCATGGCAGTGAGGGGCTGCTTTCTCTGCTGTGAGCTTGGGCCAGGCTGCCTGTTGTCCAGGGAGCTGGAAGGTTGCGCTACCCCAGCCGTGCAGGGAGCGAATGGAAGAATGGGGCCAGTGTTGGGAAAATGAGAACACGGTACGGAGACAAAGGGGAGAGCTGGCTGCTTCCGCCTACTTCTCTATGGGAACCCCGTGGGCATTTCATCTGAACAATGGCCCCTCTGTTGTTGACAAAAGGAGCCAGGATGGGGGTATAAGGGATCCATTTTGCAGGCTGTACGTGGTGATGTTGTAGCCCTGTTGGTCCCAGGATATTAGAGACCAGGTGGGTGAGGTACCAGCTTGTGTCGGTGAGAGAGACCTGCAGACGAGCTCTGTGTAATCTCGAAAGCTTTTCTGTCCCGCCAACAGAAGTTGGTCCAATAAAAGATATGACCTCACCCACCTTCTCTCTCTTTTGTGTGTGGGCATTTATTTGTTCTTTCAATGTAACCTTACACATATGACGCAGCTATAAAGAGAAGCAACAAATAAAAACAGCAGCTACCGGGTGGGCCAGGCTTATCTGTGACTTTTAGAACTGGGTAAACAGTGGCGAAAGGTATGCACAAACATTTATTCGCAAGTGGAAAACCACCAATTTGCTTTGGTCCTCACCACCCCTCTTATTTGCTGTCTGCGAACTTTCAGACATGCAAGTCTGTGTTTGCAAGAGTGTTTGCAGAAAGAGAGAGTTTCGCCCGAGCGAATAGTCCAGATTTGATCCATGGCACTTTGTGGGTCCTCATTCCTGAGCAGCTCCCAATCTTTAACACACTGTTGCCCGTTTTTGACCCCGAGCGGCTAGTCCAAGTTCAGGGCACTGGAGATATTCTAGTTGGGAGTTGAAATGGATGGAGTCTGGTATTTTCTTTGGTGCCGTCTTGTTTATTTACAAGGAATGTACAAGTCCTGCTGCCCCGAATGCAGGAGGAACAAAGAAGAAAGGTTTAGCTGACAGCCCCATGAGGTCTCGCTGTTGCTTTTTCCAGGGTCGTACTGTGCTCACAGGCTACTGCTTGGTTTTCTTGCTTTTTGCCTCTGCCTCTTGCTCTCTGTGCTGTCTGTCCTCAGTTTCTCTGTGGTCTCTCTCTCTCTCTCTCACAAAATTCCCCACAAAACTGTGAGCCTACCCAATGCAGTCCAGGCTCCTGAGTGGCTTCACACAACCCCCATTTGTCTTAGCTGGTGGTGGGGGAACTTCTGATTAACTCATCCTGACAGTTATGTTAATTGCAGGGTGTGTTCACACCCAATCTCAAAGAGGTTTGTGACCCAAGCAGTTACTAGCACCTCCCAGCAGAATAGTATTTGTCCTCACAGCGCCCTGTGATGACAGGCTGGGCTATTACCTCCATTTTAGAGATGGGGGAGCTGAGGCACAGAAAGCGTGACTTGGTCAAGTTCATCCAGGAAGCCCGTGCAGGAAAAATGTAGCCCAGGTCTCCCAAGTCCTCGGCCTAGTGCCATATAACCACGGCAGCCCCCTTGGAGAGTGGAGCCACGGGCTGAAATCTGTTTGCACAAAGCATTTGGCAAATCGTTTTGAATAAACAAAGACATTCCTAAAAGCTGAAGTATGATTGAGGATTATCTTCAGTGGTGGCCTAGATATTGTCTACCCAGGTGCCTCTATCCTATCACCTGAAATGACTAGCTGATTATTTGTGAGTAGGCAAAAGAGATTCAAGGATGGTTTCTTTAACCCACAGAGAGCTAAGCTGTCTCTGGTGTTTCAGTAGATAGTTTCTCAACGGGGGCATTATATGTGATGAGAGAGATTTTAAGGGAATGTAATAGCATGGTAAATACAGCAGCAGGCTATGATAGTCAAGTTTAATTTTCTATCTCAGATGTGATGAAAGGGATAGCATCCATTGGGAAGCTTTCTAGCATGGTAGTATGCTTATGTATAGGGAAATATCTAGGAACATAGAGACCTCTACTTCCAGAAGTGCTTGCTAGGAGTGTACAGTGTATGTGAAGGAAGGAATAAAATCTGAATGTTGCATTGTCTTGGCTTTCTCCCTTCTTCTCCTTGAACACTGAACACCAGGTAACATCTCCACCAAGGCAGTCAAAGCCTAATTAATATCCAAAAGGATTTCAGGTAAGACAGGTGGGGATGCCTGGGAGGTGGGTGAGGGGGAGAGGCCATTAGTTTTGGCTGGGCCAAGAACAGGTACACACAAATTAGTAATTGCCTTTACTTGGAGCTTCTAAGCAGAGAGAGGAAGTCCATTATTAGTCAACACCTCAAGAGAGACTTTTGAAATTAACCTAGGATGGGACAAGGGGTGGATGACACCGGGTTTATTCATGGAAACAAGTCGATAGAAGAACATGCAATAGCTATTGTGTCAGGATGTTCCCTAGGCTGAGGTAAGCAGGTCTCAGTGGAGAATATGCTAATTCACTCTCACGCCTACTGACTTGGAAGGGTTCAATGGCCATGGCTGAGGAGCCGGACTAACTTTGTCTATGCTTTGAGCGGGAGGTTTGTGATTCCCAGCCAGAGACCTACTCATGCTAGCGCTCCTCAAATCAGTGCACTAAAAATAGCGTGCAGCCACAGCAGTGCAAGCGCTGGGACGGACTAGCCACCCCATGTATGTGCCTAGGGTCTCGCTGAGAACTACCGCCAGCACGTCTCCTGAGCTAGGAACCACACCCCCAGCTTGAAGTGTAGACATACCCTGAGTGAGGAGGCTATTTTGGCACTGAGGGTTGGGACTCTGAAGACTTGCACAGCCACTGGACAGTCTCAGAGCTTTAGTAATGTGAGCGTTAGACACGTGACTCTTTTCTGTAAATTCAGGGGTTTGGGGTCGACTTTTCCTGGGCAAGGCTAGGAAGTCTCAGACCTCAGTAGGTTTGGTCTATTGTGTTACTTTAAAAGAAAAGTGAAACTTGCTGCTTTTTCCTAATAAACCTCAAGGGCCAGACCCTCAGCTCATGGAAGCTGGTGTTAGTTCCACTGGTGTCAATGGAATGGCAATCAATGGACCAATGATGATTTACACAGAGCATTTGGCCCTGTTTATTTAAGATCCTTGTGCTGTTAGGTAGGGTTACCATAATTAAAAAAGAGGACATTCCACTGGCCCTGGCCCCGTCCCTTTCCCACCCCTGGCCCCGCCCCAACTCCGCCCCTTCCCTGCCCCAACTCTGCCCATTCCCCACCCCTTCCCCAAAGTCCCCGCCCTAACTCTCCCTCCTCCTTCCCAGCCTCGCGAAAAGGGCTGCCCGAGCGCTACCAGCTTCACGGTTTGCCGGGCAGCCTCCAGACCCTGCGCCCCTGGCCGGCACTTCCCCAGCACAGCTGGAGCCCGAGCTGCCCAAGCGCCACCGGCTTCGGGCAGCCCCCATGCCTCTGGACCCTGCGCCCCCGGAGCAGAGCAGCTGGAGCCCGGGAGGGGAAGTGCCCGGCCGGCGGCTCGGGGTCCAGAGGCAAGGGGGCTGCCCGAAGCTGGAGCGCTCGGGCAGCTCGGTCTTCAACAGAGCCGAAGAGTCAGGAGAGGAGCAGAGCAGCTGGAGCCGGGGAGGGGAAGTGCCCGGCCAGTATTTTTCCCGGACATGTTCGGCTTTTTGGCAATTACCCCCGGACGGGGGTTTGATTACCAAAAAGCTGGACATGGCCGGGAAAAACTGGACGTATGGTAACCCTATATTAGGGAATATTCTTGTAAGGGTGTCTTGGAAGAGGTAAATCAATGGCTGGTAATAAAAGGGAAACTGGAGTCTAACCGTACTCAGGGTTCTCGGTCAAAGGCATGTGGGAGGAAATCTGTCCTATAAGGCAGAGGTTCTCAACCTTTTTCTTTCTGAGGCCCCCACAACAGGCTATAAAAACTCCACGGCCAACCTGTGCCACAATAACTGGTTTTCTGCATATAAAAGCCAGAGGCAGCGTTAGGGGGTATCAAGCAGGGCAATTGCCTGGGGCCCCAGGCCACAGGGGCCCCCAAAAAGCTACACTGCTCAGGCTTCGGCTTCAGCCCTGGGTGTCAGGGTTCAGGGCCCTGGACTTCAGCCTCATGTGGTGGGGCTTCGGCTTTCTACCCTGGACCCCAGCGAGTCTAATGCTGGCCCTGCTTGGCGGCCCCCTGAAACGTGCTCGTGTCCCCGCAGGGGGCCCAGGACCCCTGGTTGCACCTTAGAGCAGTGGTTCTCAGTCAGTACCAGAGCAGAGGGCAAGGGAAAAGCCTAATCACCTTGATCAAACAATTCGAGGGTCCCAAGGTGACATCCACACCCCGAACAAGGACGACGTCTCTCTAATAAGCTGCTTGCTGTGAACAGTTCAGCCAGCTCTAGTTACACCAGTATCCATTTCGTGGAAGTCAGTGGAGTTGCTCCAGATTTGCACCAATGAAACTAGATTAAAATCTGCCCCAGTGTCCCAGGGATAAATACAGCTGTGATGTAAACGGTGATATAAATTCCACGTTGGGTGTAAGCTGCAGAGTAGTGTAATTTTCAGCACATTGTCATTCCGTGAGTGTCGCTTCCATGGTAAGGGGGTGGAGTCTAGCAGGAAAAGCCACTAAGAGAAGGATGTGAACTAAAACTTACATCACAGCCTCCCCAGCATTCCTGAGGCCACAGCCAGCCCTGATGCAAGCAGTTGCAACTCCCATTGATTTCA